AGTTGCTCCATAACTGAGACCATTGACCAAACAGCTTTTGCCATCTGAAATCATTTTTAGAGACTTTTTTTGATATATCAAAACTTACCGTAATACCCAATTCAAAATTAACCGAAACATTTTCAGTGATTTTGATTTTAAAAATTGATTCAGCATTTTCCAAAAAAATTATTAATATTTTTTGATTTTCACTATTCCAAGAAACCCAATTGATGCTACGCAAGGCTTCAAAAACCTCCGAAGTCTAAAAGCTTGTATGAGAATTTTTAAAAACATTAAAATAGAAATATTTACAATATTTTCAACGAGTTGACCCGAGAATATAATAAGAACAAAAGTCACACTTCCTGTAATAATTAAAGTAATGACGCGTGGATATCTTCCTTCAAACGATCCTTGAAACTGTTTTTTTGTAAAGCTGATTTTCTTAAAATTTTAACTTACAGAAAAGTGGAAATTTATAATACTTATTCCCAGCAGTGTCCCACATACAGCGAATGCAAAAACAAACTTTTTAAAATTTTCTACTATAGGCTTTACTGCGCTGAAACGGTCAAATTATATTATGATAACAACAAAAAATGATGAATCAATTACAAGAAGCAATGACTGTGTCGTTTGATACAGAACAGCAACCTGTTTTTAATTTGTGTTTGAAATTTTTTGTCAGTTATATTTTTATTGCCTGGATTGATGTTTTCCAAAAAATGCAACAAGAGTAAAAACTGGAACCGAACTTGACAGCACACGTAGACAGAAGCATAACAGGGGGCCAACATTATAAAAGGTATTGGGACAAACATGGCTCTATATATACAAGAAAACAAATTTTTCCATTCTGGAGTGTATTCTTCAAAAATTGACAAAGGGTAGAAGAGTTCCTCGTCATCTTGCAACGGAATTGCGTGACATATTACAAAACACAACACAATTAATACAGAAAGCTTCATTTCTGATTTTGCGTTCTATTTCAGGAGTGGCACTATTTATTTCCCATATACCATATTTTACCAAAAATGTTTTTACGTTTTTTACAATCGGTAAAATTGTAATTGACGAAACGAGAATCTGTAAGGTTTATCGTAGCCGCAATTACAATATTTTAATTACTTACAAATAGAAAACCGGTATAAGCAGCTGAGTATTTGATAAAATAATAACCGTTGAATTTTTTTAAAAAGAGGTAACTTTGAATTAGGGTTAATGTGATTATGCTGAGTGAAATGAATGTTAGAAAAATTTTGATTATTTTATATTGGAACTGGTCGACGCAGAGCTTTCGTAAAACCCATAAAACATCGTTTTTTTGTCGGTCTGATGTGGACATGTCTGTATGATTTAAGCACTAGCACAATAATAATAATATTATATCATTTCAAGAATTTTTATTACAAATCATTATTACACGATAAACGAGCTTAAAACATATTTGTTTGCCGTTAAATGTAAAAATTACTGTTAATATTAAAGTAATAGGGGTTTTTATTACATTAGTTATTACGATGTCTAAATTAATATGAAGGTTATTGTAGTAGAAAAATCGAAAATAATTTAAAAAGGGAACAAATCAAATGCACAGTATATTATTTAAACGACAAGTATTTATGATCAGTAAAAATAATAAATGAATAGTAAAATTAATAAATGCACAGTAAAGTCAATGAATGAATGTCTAGCAAAACTAATTAATCTAATATTCACACATTTACAAACAAAATGTTTCCGAGCAAAATCGGAATGTCGCAAAGCGTTCAAAAACATAATTGTGGTGTCAAGAGCACAGCAATGGTCTACGCTGATTAAACTGATTATTATTTATGCAGTTTCCAGCTTTTAGTAAAATCATTCTTGCGCAGGGGCACTCGCTAATACATATAACACCCTTCAATTATAATAAATATTGAGTAATACAAAAATAAGTTTTAATAATAAATAACATTCTTGCTCATGGGCCATACATTGTTATGTAACCAAGACTGATTTTTTTTCAATTTGATGTTGTTTTACCACTTTTGCTTAAAGTTTCTGAGCAAAAATTAATTAAATGTCGATCATTTATCATTTTATACTGATCAAAATTGAATTATTTAGTGATCGCTTCATTACTACCCATTTAAAAAACCCACAAAGCGTTTCATAACAAAAATTAGTGAATAAAATTTGTTTTTGTTGACTATGAAACACAGACCAAACAGCTCTTGCCAGCTGTAATAATTTTTAAAGACTTTTTTTAGATACCTTTTGACTTTGATTTTAAAAATTATAATAGGTGTTGGGACAAAAGTTGATGCTGTTATTTATAAAAATCAATATTTCTATTCCGGAGTGTTTTTTTCGAAAATTGACAGAGTAGAAGAGTTCCTCGTCATCTTACAACGGAATATTGTGACATATTTCACAGATTATTGCTAAAATGGTGTTACAAAACACAAAATAATTGATATAGAACGTTTTATTTCTGATTTTGCACTCTTTTTACATGCAAAGAACCAGTACCTATACCCAGCTGAATATTTAACAATTTTTTTTTAATTGGGGTTAATCTTTTTGTGCTAAATGAAGTTGGTGTCAGAAAAATTGTGATTATATTACACTGAAAATTTGAAAGCACATTTGTTTGGTGTTAAGTGTAAAAAATTAATGTTATTATGTAAGAGTTATAGTTATTTATTTATTACGTTGTTCTAATTACTATCACGGCTTTAAATTTGTTGTGGAAAAGTCTGAAAACGTAAGAAAAATTTCAAAAAATAAAGAATAAATTTTTTATTTTTATTTTTACACGTTTGCGGTTGGTTAAGAACAAGAACTACATATTTGCATGAGAATTGTCAAAAATCTTCGTGGTGCATTATGTAATATAATAATTAATTAATTGTCGTCTGAGTAATTTATATTTTTCAGTTGCTCCATAACTGAGACCATTGACCAAACAGCTTTTGCCATCTGAAATCATTTTTAGAGACTTTTTTTGATATATCAAAACTTACCGTAATACCCAATTCAAAATTAAGCGAAACATTTTCAGTGATTTTGATTTTAAAAATTGATTCTGCGTTTTCCAAAAAGATTATTAATATTTTTTTATTTTGACTATTCCAAGAAACCCAATTGATGCTGCGCAAGACTTCAAAAACCTCCGAAGTCTAAAAGTTTGTATGAGAATTTTTAAAAACATTAAAACAAATATTTACAATATTTTCAACTCGTTGACTCGAGAATATAATAAGAACAAAAGTCACACTTCCTGTAATAATTAAAGTAATGACGCGTGGATATCTTCCTTCAAACGATCCTTTAAACTGTTTTTTGTAAAGCAGATTTTCTTAAAATTTTAACTTACAGAAAAGTGGAAATTTATAATACTTATGCCCAACAGTGTCCCACATACAGCTAGTGCGAAAACAAACTTTTTAAAATTTTCTACTATAGGCTTTGCTGCGCTAAAACGGTCAAATTATATTATGATATCAACAAAAAATGATGAATCAATTACAAGAAGCAATGACTGTGTCGTTTGATACAGAACAGCAACCTGTTTTTAATTTCTGTTTGAAATTTCTTGTCAGTTATATTCTTATTGTCTGGATTGATGTTTTCCAAAAAATGCAACAAGAGTAAAAATTGGAACCGAACTTGACAGCACAAGTAGACAGAAGCATAACAAGGAGCCAACATTATAATCGGTATTGGAACAAACATGGCTCTATATATCCAAGAACACAAATTTTTCCATTCTGGAGTGTATTCTTCAAAAATTGACAAAGGGTAGAAGAGTTCTTCGTCATCTTGCAACGGAATAGCGTGACATATTCCACTGCTTATTGCTAGAATTGTGTTACAAAACACAACACAATTAATACAGAAAGCTTCATTTCTGATTTTGCGCTCAATTTCAGGAGTGGCACTATTTATTTTCCATATACCATATTTCACCAAAAATGTTTTTACGTTTTTTACAATCGGTAAAATTGTAACCGATGAAACCAGAATCTGTAAAGTTTGTCGTACCCGCAATTACAATATTTTAATTACTTACAAATAGAAAACCGGTATAAACAGCTGAATATTTAATAAAATAATAACCGTTGAATTTTTTTAAAAAAAGGTAACTTTGAATTAGGGTTAATGCAATTATGCTGAATGAAATTAATATTAGAAAAATTTTGATTATTTTATATTGAAATATGTCGATGCAAAGCTTTCGTAAAACCCACAAAACATCGTTTTTTAGTAAGTCTGATGTGGACATGTCTATCTGATTCAGCCACTAGTACAATAGTAATAATATTATATCATTGCATGAGCTTTTATTACGTGATCGTTACTACACTATATACCGGCTTAAAACCTATTTGTTTGTCGTTAAGTGTAAAAAATTAATGTTAATATAAGAGATTGGGTTATTATTTGATTATTTATTTATTTATTACGTTGTTTTCATTAATTAATATCATTACGGCTTTAAATGTGCTGTTGAAAAACTGGAAAACGTAGGCAAAACCTTGAAAAGTAGCTCAAGACATAAATAGAGAATTAAATTTTTATGTTTTTACAATTTTTATGTATTTACATGAGAATTATCAAACAACTTCGTGGTGCTTTATTTAATACAATTAACTATCAATAAGTTAGTCCTTTCATAACATTAATATATTAGTTTCGATAAAGTATTTGCTTTATATAAATGAATTCTTTTAAACATTTTTCTTTTAACTGTTTGATGCAAACGTACTACCAAAATTGAGTTCTTATGCATTTATAGTTTGATAAAATAATTTATGCTATTAGAACTTTTATAAAAAATTGTTATTTTACGAGGTGCTCAAAAATATATCTATTTGTCTTTGATTAAGGGAAAAATTTAAAATCGATATTATAACACCTGGATTTTTACTAATTTATTTATTACAATGTCTTAATTTACATTTTAATTTTCAGGTTGCTACAATAACATTAAGAGAAACTTAGTGCATAATCGCTATATTTTGACAAAGCATTTAGATTTTGGAATAATCAATATTTCGAAGTTTGCTCATAACTGAAATCATCGAATAAATAGCTTTCAAGATCTGAAACAAATTAATAATAATTGGGTCATGTTGAAAAGGATGAAAATTACCGATAAACCAAGTCTATAGTTGACGGAGACATTTTGCGAGAATTTGAGCCTAAAAATGGTTTGAGTATTTTGTAAAAAAACAATATACAGTTTTCTGTTTTCAATATTCCAACAGTACCAATCCATCTTTTTCAACGTTTTGTAAATTTTAAAACACTTGAAAAAACATTAATCTCACATTAAAAGGGGAAAATTACTTACTCCATCTTCGACCAATTGACCAATGCAAAAAATATGAATGGAAATAGTTGCAATGGTAAACACTAAAGTAGTTACTCGAATGTATCTATTTTCAAAAGTTCCTTGAAACTTGTGAGAGATTAATTCGAAATACTATTTAAAATTTTACTTACTGAGAAAAGAAATGCAAAAACACTGACTCCTATAATAATTCCCATTACTGAGAAAGTGGCAATTGGGACGTACATTTTTTGGTTGAGCTCATTCACAGCTCTTAACATGTGCAAAAATAAGTAAATAATTGGAAATAATAAATATGTACTTACTTGACAAAGTAGGAATGTCGTTTAATACAAAATACCAGTCTTTTTTTAATAATATTCTGATATTGTTGATTGTATACCAAATCATTTGAAGTTGTGTCAAAATCTGTATTTATGGTTTCCAAAAATGGCAAAAACAGTAACATTTGAAAATAACATTTTGTGATACAATAAATCGCAATATATAGCGGTATCGGCATTGAAAACGGAATGATGAAGAAACTAAACCTGTATATCCACGATAATATATTTTTCCATTTTGGCAGAAACTCTTGAAACATAGCCAAAGGATAAAACAACTCGTCATCGTCTTCCAGTGGCATGACATGAAATATTGCACTTACTAAACCAGTGACTGTACAAGTGACCAAACAAATATTGGTGCACATTGCCTGCTTTTTAATTTTTTTTTCAATACCAGGACCAGCACAGTCGATTTTCCAAAAAGTTATATCTTTTAAATAACTGGCCACAGTCAAGGAAAATGGAATGTGCCCAATTGAGAGGAGAATCTTAAAATTACGAATCAGTTAACATTTACACTGGCGTACAAATTTTTTTAATGAAACTTTAGCACGTCACTGGAAATTTAACAACACTTACGAAAAAGCTTCCAACGTATATTGGCGCAAATTTGATAAAATAGCGGCCATCAAAACGATGCAAAAATAGAAAAGTCTGAATTAGTGTCAAAATTGCAATCCCAATTGATAAGATAAAAAGGACAATTTTGACGATTTTAGTGTTGAAGTAGTCGAAGCAAAGTTTACGCGAAAGCCACAAAACGTCGTTTTTGAATATGTTTTCGTCTGGTTTTTCTTCAAAATTTAACATTGCTTTAAGTTACGAAGAAAGCCAAATAAATAATGAGTTATGAATAATATTTTTCTACGAAACGCTTAATTGATAAATAAGTGTTGTGATTAATAAATGTTGCAACAATAAGTTTGGTAATTTGATTTTATTACGTTTTTTAATTATAAATGATTAAACATTAAGGAACATTTTGCTTCTTTTTTTAAGACTTGTTATTATTGTTACTTTTTGATTAATATCAAAAGACATTTTGTATTCGAAACAGTGTTTACTACCTATTATAATACATATAAATACATTGTTGATAATAAATAATTTGAAAACATTCCAAATTTATTGTGAAAAGCATTCTTTTGAATTAAAAATAGTCAAGACTGTAGATCTGACTAAAACATTATTTGGTGCACATTTAATTTTTTTTATATCAGGACCAGTACTTTCTGTTTTTCAGTTTTTCTAAACATTAATACATAATTGTTGTGATTAGTAAATATTACAACAGCAAGTTTGCTAATTCCTTTGACCACTTTTTTTAGTTATAGGTTGGTGTTTTGTATAAGGAAAGCACATTATCACACATTTTCATTTGCATTTGTGTCACTTTTGTCTTGATGATTTGAAAACCTTGACCTCAAACTACTTAAATTTATCGTGAAATATCACTAACGACTAATTCTTCGAATAGTCAATATTCTTAAGTTTGCTCATTATCATTGAAACCATTGAATAGATGGTTTTTGCTGTCGGAAATTATTTATTATTAGAAATTCAAATCTAAATGAATCATTAAATAAATAGTGAAATTAATTAGAAATTTTATTGTTGAATAAAATCCAAGAAAAGCAACTATCGTTTTCAATTATTATTTGTTTATTAATTCTGAATAAGAAAGGCCGCGAGATGCGCAGAAGATAGAAAGAACGAGTTTGTATGAGAGTGATAGACAACCGCTTAGCTGGGGTACAGTCTGTGAAACAATTTTATTCTATTTCTATTCTACTTTAGCAGAAAGATAACAAAACACATTTCTTCTACATAATTAATGGCTACTTATGAAAATTTGAAAATTTGTATAAATATTCTACAATTTTTTTAAGACTTACCCTAACCTGTTTATAGTCTAAAGATTATTTAAGACATTTTTTGAGTTTTATGAGTCGTCAAGATTTTTAAGGGATCTCAACACTGAAATCATAGAATAAACAGATTGTGCTATCTAAAAAATATATTTTGGTAGAAATAAGAATAATGAACTTTAAAAATTTTATCTCACCGAAATACCTAGCTGGTAATTGACCGCCATGTCGTCTAAAAAATTTATCTGAAAAACTTGTTGGGTGTTTTGCATGAAAATGATTAAAATGTTTCTGTTCTGTTGATTCCAGTAATGCCAATCGACAGCTTGTAAAATTTCGAAAAACTTTGTCGCCTAAAAGTAAGTTTTGCAATAAATACAACTTAAACAGAAATTTAGGTACAATGTTTTCCACTAATTGTCCTGCGATGATGATATGAGTAAAAGTAAGGCCTGCAGATATGACCAAAGTAACTAAACGTGGGTATCGTTTTTCGAATGATCCTTCAAACTTTGAAACAATTAATTTGAATTGAATTTTACTTACTTACTGAGAATAGAAAAAATATAATACTGACTCCTATTATTACTCCAGCAATAGACATGAGAAAAGTATATGCTTGAGATCCATTCACAAGTGTTTTTCCAGTTCTAATCAAAGATAATTATTATTTCAAGGAGAGAGTGAGGACTTACGTTTGGATTTCAGTATGGCGTTTGATACAAATTTTGAGTCTTTGTTTGATTCCTTCTTGATACTTGGAATTTTCAATTAATGTATCTGGATCGGAAATGTCAAAACCCTCATTAATATTTTCCAAAATGTCTAAGACTAAAGTTGTTTGGTATCGCATTCGACTTGTAAAATAAATAGTCATTTCACAAGGAGAAATCATCAATAACGGAACGATTAGATAGCTCGATCTATACAGCCATTCCAGTTCGTATTTCCAATTTGGAAAAAACTCTTCGAAAATTACCAAAGGGTAAAAAATATCCTTGTCTTCATCAAGCGGAATGACGTGGAAAACTCCACTCAAGAGTGCAACAATTGTGTTAACAACCACAAAAGTGTTAATGTAAAGTGCCTCCCACTTTATCCAGTTTCTGGTTTCTGGTTTACACTCAGTTTCATCCCAAAACTCGAACTCATTGAAAAGAGACTGCATAATTGGCGATATATTCTCAATAAAGAAAATTGACATCAAAATCTATAACATAAAATTAAAAGCGAAAACGCAACTTTTTCTACTCACGAAAATAGATCCAGCGTAAACTGGGAGATATTTCATGAAATAATCGCTGTCAAAACGTTGCAAATAGAGATAAGTTTGAATTGATGTCAGAATTATTATCGATAAGGAGATGATCTTTAAAATAATTTTTACTGGTTTATATTGAAATAAGTGTAAACAGAGTTTGGCTACAAGCCATAAATTGTCGCGGGGCAGCTTTTGCACACTCATTGCTTCAAGTAGAAACTGAAATGGTCTGTCTTCCGTTTAATGTTGATTCTTTGATCTCAAATGAAAGTTTTTTTACTAGTTTCTTTAATTAATAAATTAAAAGAAACATAAGTTTAGGTGTTTTTTGTATTTTCGTATTTCTTTATGTGAGTAGTAAATAATTCATTTGGGTCAATATTTACAATTCTGTTTGATAAATAATCAACCCTTAAGTGTATAAATTCAATTAATAAAACACTAAAGGAGACATTGGTGACTGCTTCACTTTTTTTTAGTCACTGATACTACAAGAATTATTTAAAAAGAGAGACTTCAATGTTAGAAAAACACACAAAATGATTCAAAGTTTTTATTTTACACTTTCATTAAAAACAAAAATAATTTTATATTTAGAAAAACTTAAATAATATTGTAAAACTATAGAAATTAAACATTCAACTTTAAGAACAGACCAAAGAGGGTGAAATTATAAGAAACTTACTCTTTCATATACATTTTATTTAAAATTGTTGTATTTCGTGTGCAATTCGACAGTTTTATTTGTTGAGATGTGATTTGGTACTAAAATAATTTGCTAAAATAGTATATTATGTTATTAGGAGTAAAAGTGAGGCTGAACATTTCAGTTGAACCATATAAACTCACTTTTACTCTGAATAACAAGTTGATTGGCAAACGTGTTCAGATCGTGAGTAAAGAGCAACACTATATTTTTCAAGTAAATGAACAAAATAATTAAGACGTTTTGCAAGTAATGAAATCATATTAAAGCTTATAAACAAACATCACTAGTCAGTATTGGAATTTGTGTTGAGATTTTGAAAAGTGCAATTAGTAGTGCGTGATATTTAGTTACAAAAGTGGATAAAATATTTTAGTAATCGGTTTTGTATTTTGATAAAATCTACTGATTAATTTCTGACAAACAGTTTTATATATTATGATTTTTCAATATTTTTAAGCGAACTTAAAACTGAAATCATGGAATAAACTGCTTTCGCTATCTGAAAAATCAGTCTATTATTAATTATAACAGATATTAAGATTTCTTTCTGACCGAAATACCCAGCTGGTAATTGACTACTACCGTGTCTAAGAATTTTATTTGGAATACTTGTTGAGTGTGTTGTATGAAAATAATTAAGGTTTTTTTATTTTCTTGATTCCAGCAGTGCCATTCGATAACTTTCAAAATTTCGTAAAGTCTTGACAGCTAAAAAAACCTGTAATAAAGACTATTTAAACGAGTTTAATGCACCTACAGTATTTTCCATGAGTTGACCTGCGGTAATAGCATGAGTAAAAGTAAGACCTGTTGAAATCACTAAAGTAACCAAACGAGGATATCGCTTTTTGAATGATCCCTCAAACTTAAAAAAAATATATTTAATTTGAGTCGATTTTTCTTACATACTGAAAATAGAAAAAAAATTATACAGACTCCTAGTATTGCTCCAGCAGCAGACATGACTAAAATATAAATCTGAGTAGTTTTTAACATTTTGTTTCCAGCTCTAAAACATAGGACATAAAACATCAAAAAAATAATAAATGCATACGACAAGAAATCGATGTGACGTTTGATACAAATTTTGAGTCTTCTCTTGATTTGCTTTTGATACGTGGAATTTTCGATTAAACCATTTGGTTTTGAAATGTCGTAACCTTCACTTATATTTTCCAAAATATCTGAGAACAAAAAAATTTGGAACCGTAGTCTACTCGTAACATAAATTATCATTTGAAAAGGTGCTATCATTGCGATCGGAGTTATTAAAAAACTAAATCTGTAAAACCATTCCAATACATCCTTTACATCTGGAAAAAACTCTTTGAAAATGACTAATGGATAAAAAATATCCTCGTCTTCATCGAGCGGTATGGCGTGAAAAAATCCGCTCAATAGTGCCAAAATTGTGTTAAAAACTATAAAAGTGTTAATATAAAGTGTCTCCCATTTTATCCAGTTTCTAATTTTGGGTTTAGAATCATTTTCGTCCCAGAACTCAAACTCTTGCAAAACCAATAATACTTCCGGTGTTACATTCTCAACACATAAAATTGACGCCAAAACCTGAAAAAATAAATGAGAAGAAAACGCTTCTTGTTACTTACAAAAAGCGATCCGGCAAACATTGGAAGATACTTCATAAAATAGAGGCCATCGAATCTTTTCAAAAAGAGGACAGTTTGAATTACTGTCAGGATTACTATAGATAAGGAAGTTATTTTCAAAATAATTTTCACTGCTTTGAATTGAAGTAAATCGAAACATATTTTGGCCGAAAGCCACAAATTGTCACGGGGCGCTTTTTGAACACTCATCGCTTCAAGACTGACTGAAAGAGTTAATAGTTTCAGGTAAAATTAATGTAGGGCACCTGAAGCAATGATAATGATGATCATCAGATCTTAATTTTCTGTATTAAATTGACGTCAATTAAACAAATACATTTTTGAATAAAGAATTTTATTAATTTATACAAATTATTGCCTATTAATTAAAGATCTTAAGGCTAAATTTTAAACAGGTTTTATATTATTTAATATTGACAGTTTTGATAAAAACTTTGTCCTTTACTCTCAGGTTTTCGTACGAATTAAAAATCTTGAAAATTGAAAAATTTTCAGTAATTGTTAACAGGCCCATTAGTATCTCAGCTGCACCAAGACACTGACCATAGAATAGATTGCTTTTCCACTCTAAAATTCTGCTTATAAAACATAATTAAACTATTACTTACTAACCGAGATGCCTAACTCATAGTTAATTGAGATGTCTTCCGAAAATTTTATTTTAAAGACTTTTTGTGCATTTTGCAAAAGTATGATGAAAGTTTTCCGATTTTGAATACTCCAGCAATACCATTCGGTCGTAGATAAGATTTCAATAAATTTGAAACCCTGGAAGCAAACTTTGTATCGAGGGGCCGTTCACTCTGAAATTAGTTGTACAAATTTTTGAAATTTAATCGGGAATTGCTTGGAATTATTTGGAATTACTGGAATTATATGTGAATTACTGGAATTTTTCCGGAATAGCTGGATTTTTTTTAGGAATTACAGAAAGTCTTTTTGGAATTACGGAAATTAAGTTGGAATTACGATGGATTATTAAAATTTCTGGATTTTTTTTGGAATTACTGAAATATTGGTAAAATTACTGTAATTTTGGGGGAATTTTTTTAGAATTGCTGAAATTTTGGTGGAATTTGTTGGAACTACTGGAATTTCGGAGGAATTTTTTTGGAATTTCATTAGTTGTACACATTTTTTTTAAATTAACGACCCCTCGTTTTGTATTAAAGCAAGAAACTGTTTTGAAAAGTACCGTTTCTTCAATTAATTGTCCTGCAATAATAACATGTACAGACGTAAGACCTGCAGATATGAGCAACGTCGCAACACGAGGATATATGTGTTGATAGGACCCTTCAAACTTTCAAGGGTTTAGTACAACATTTACTTGATTTTGATTACTTACAGAAAATATAAAAAATAAAACACTGACACCTAAAATTACCGCAGTTATGGAAAAAATCATAATCATTTCATGATATTTTTGTAGAATCTTATATCCAGTGCTGGTGAAATTAAAGCTTTATATATGCAAAAAAAACGAAAACAAATATAATAACTTACGATACAAGTTCGACGTGTCGCTTGATAGACAGTTTGAGTCTTTGTTTGATCTCAGTTTGATATTTGACATTGTTAATTAACTGAAGATCTGAAATATCGTATCCTTGATTAATTTTTTTTACAGCATCCAACAATAAATAAAATTGAAATCGCATTTTACTTGTAAAAAAAATAACAAGGTAACAAGGCGTTGCCGCTATCATTGGTACTATTAGAAAAGTTGTTCTGTAAAACCAATTCAACACATTTTTCCAATCGGGGAAATATTCTTTAAAAATTGCAATCGGGTAAACAATTTTTTCATCTTCGTCTAGCGGAATAGCATGAAATATACCACACAAGACTGCAATAATTGTATTAACAACCATAAATATGTTAATATAGTGTCCTTCAGCTTTGATTCGGCGTTTAGTTTCTGGTTCAGAGTCTTCAATGTCCCAAAATTCCAGTTCTTCTTGAGCTTCCAAAATACATTTTATCAAAAACGGTGTTGACAAAATAGAAACCAAAACCTAAAAAACTAAAACGGAAGCACAAAGGAACTTTTACTTACGAAAAGATTTCCGGCGTAAAGGGGGAAATAGTGGACTAAATAAGTACTGTCGAAGCGTTTGAGAAAAAGAACAGTTTGAATTGCTGTCAGGATCATTAACATGATGAAAGTTATTTTCAAAAGAAGGTTTATTGGTTTGTTGGCGAAAAAACACAAACTAATTTTTGCCGAAATCCATAAATGATCTCGAGGCATTTTCTTCAACAATCGGTTATTTCAAACTAAATAATGTTAATAAAGAGAACGTTAATTACATTTTCAGGGTAATATGTTTGATTTCAAGATAAACAAAAGAAATTGGGGAAACTTACTGTTTGTCGTAAAAGTGTATTTAACAAGTTTGGGTAACTCACAATAATTGCTAACACACATGAAATAGGTCAGCCAAAATGAAATAATTATTTTTTTATCATATTTGGTTAATTGATTTAAAAGCAACGGACTAACGAAACCCCAATTGGTTAGGGCAATAATTTAAGAAAACTGTATTTTGAAATAGGTAGTCTTATATTTTTTTTATTCACAAACATAAAGTCATAATCAAATTACCTTACATGTGAAAAGATGGAAAGTATGACATTGATAAGTATGACAATTGACAGTTTAGTTTGGTAAATTACCACTTTCTAACCAGAAATGTCATATGTCATGTTTTTCAAAATTTCATATATTCTTTATTGGCTTTAGTTTTTTAAGATGCTTGTGAATAAAATAGTATACAAACCTTGGTGGTCCTTGCATTATCGTACCTCGGTTTATTGCGAAGGTAATGAAGCACCTCCCACCTCAGTATTTAATATACTATTACAATAGTAGGTTTGGAATTTTGTTTCGATCACATTTCTATTAATAAATAAAACAACATTTTTGTTTTTACTTTTTTGTTACTTTTCTTCGTGTATCCTTGAGAATATGTTTTGGAATAATAAAAACAGAAAATATTTCATGAAATATGGGCAAGTAAAAACTGGTGAATACTTAAGTTAGTTAATGGTTTCAGTTTCATCAGATCTTATATCTTTGTTTCAAATCGACGTAAATTAAACAAATATAGTTTTGAATACATAGTTTTATTAATTGAACTAACTATTTACAGTGAGCGGCAAAATTATGAAATAATTCTATTTATTAAAACTGAAAATATTTTGTTTTGACAAAAATGTTCGAACAATTTTCAATTTTCTTTTAAAAAAATACAAAATTCTTAACTTGGTTTATAATTGTATGTTTGTTTTTTGTTGATATTATTTCACTTTTAGGGTGTTTTTTTTTTCAACAACTTTATGTAATATTTAATATCTTGGTGTTGTCATTTCGACAATTAAAAGATCTATCGAATTGGCTAAAAAATAGGGGTTTCCATTACTCAAAAACCAAAAATGGTAAAATTTGAAATCAAGTTGGAAATTTTGTACTTTTTAAAAAGAAAATTGCATGTTCGAGTTTTTTCCAAAACAAAATATTTTCAGTTTTAATAAGATTATTCCATAATTTTGCCGCTCCCTGTCCAATGACATCTTAATACTAAATTTTTAAAAACAAATAACTACGAGGTATTAAAAATTGTTTCAATACTATGTGCTATAACAAGTGCTTTATAATAAATTTACAACAAATGTGCATAAATATTGGTGTTTCAATTTTGACAATTTTTTCAAAAAGTTTGTGCTTTAAACAAACTACTGAATCAGCGGTTCATGAAACTTTTTTTTCAAATGCTAAAAGTAAGATTTATGTATTTTACAGGAGTTTTGAAAACTGGAAAAATTTTCAGCAAACTTCCTATTTATTCCTAAGCTGCGCCAAGACAGACACCATGGAATAAATCGATTTGCCAATCTAAAATCTTGCTTGTAGTAACAAAATTAAAAATTTCTTACTAACCGAGATGCCTAGCTCATAGTTAACCGATATGTTTTCTGAGAATTGCACTTTAAAGATTTTTTGTGCATTTTGCAAAAGTAAGGCAAAAGTTTTCCGATTTTGAATATTCCAGCAGTACCATTCAGTAGCTGATAAAATTTCAATAAATGTTAAACCCTGGAAGCAGACTTTGGATCTAAATAGAACACTGCTATAATAATAAATACCACTTCTTCAATTAGCTGTCCTGCAATAGTAACATGTGTGAAGGTAAGACCCCCAGATATAACCAAAGTGACCAAACGAGGATATCTATGTTGAAAAGATCCTTCAAACTTTTAAGGATTTAGTAAATAGTTTATTTGAATTTAATTACTTACGGAAAATAGGAAAAATATGATACTGACACCTAAGATTACACCAGAAATGGAAAAAAACATTATCATTTCCTGATATTTTCTTATAAGCTTATATCCAGCGCTGGTGAAATTAAAGCTTTATATACACAGAAAAAACGAAAACAAGACAGGTGCGCCAGAACTCGCGAACCATAAAAAAAATTCAAGTAAGATAAGATACCAGGAACATGGAAAAAATGTTTGAAAAATTCTATCTGTCAAAAAATTGTGACATTTGAAATTGAAAGCAACTAAAATTTTGCCAATAAAAGCAACAAATAACATTGAACAATTTAGGATACAGCTTCCTTGTTTCCTCTTCTAATAGCCTGTAGCAAAAAAACTTTGAAAATTATTTTTCCAACAGAAATAAATAGTCAAGTGCAAAATTTAAACTCTCATAACTTCGAAATTTTTATAGATAAAATTTTTCCTGGTATCTTATTTTATACAGCATTTTTCTCTGGGGCGCGAGTTCTGGCGCACCCTGTATAATAACTTACGATACAAGTTCGACGTGTCGTTTGATACACCGTTTGAGTCTTTGTTTCATCTCAGTTTGATATTCGACATTGGTAATTAACTGAAAATCTGAAATGTCGTATCCCTGATTAATTTTTCTTACAGTATCCAATAATAGATAATATTGAAAACGCATTTTACTCCCGAAAAAAATAACAAGGTGAGAAGGCGTTGTCATGATCATAGGTATTAGTAAAAAAGTCATTCTGTAAAACAAGCCTAACACATTTTTCCAGTCGGGGAAATATTCTTCAAAAATTGGAATAGGGTAAAAAATTTCTTCATCTTCGTCTAGCGGAATAGCATGAAATATGCCACTCAAGACTGCAATAATTGTATTAACAACCATAAATATGTTAATATAGTGTGCTTCAGCTTTGATTCGGCGTTTAGTTTCTGGTTCAGAGTCTTCAATGTCCCAAAATTTCAGCTCCTCTTGAGCTTCGATTATGGCTTCTGTAAAGAGCGGAATTGCCAAACTGGACACCAAAATCTGAAAAAATAAAATTGTAAATACTTACAAAAGAATTTTACTTACAAAAAGGCTTCCGGCATACATGGGGAGATATTGGACTAAATAACTACTGTCGAATCGTTTGAGAAAAAGGACAGATTGAATTGCTGACAAGATCAATAAAATAATGAAAATGATTTTCAAAAGAACGTTCATTGGTTTGTTGGCGAAGAAATGCAAACTGATTTTGGCCGAAATCCACAGAAGATCTCGAGACATTTTCTTCAACAATCGGTTATTTTAGACTAAATAATGTTAATAATGTGGAGACAACACAAGAGAAGCTTGATTAGATTTTAATGATGATATGTTGAATAATTTTTGTTCCAAGGTAAAAATACAAATTGGGGAAACTTTTCGATTTATTGAGTTACTCATAATAATTATTAATGCTAACACATGCAAATTAGATCAGCCTAGTTACATAACTAATATTTTACATTTTTTTTTGAGTAATCAAAGCAACAACTTTTATAACCATAAACATTATAAAACTGAAAAACTGTATGCTTCAGCTATTTGACAACATTTGACATTTTGCCCTACTAATTGCACTAGTTAAATTAATAAAAACTCTTAAAGATCTCAACACAAATTTCGATACTGACGCGTAATGTTTGTTAGCAACTGTTGTTGTGATTATTTTGTTCATTTTCTTGCTAATTATAGTGTTGCTCTTTATTCTCAATTTGAATACGTTTGTGGATAAAATACTATATGTCATTTGGAGTAAAAGTGAGTTTACGTGGTTCAACTAAAACATTCAGCTTCGCTTATACTCCTAATAACACAATATACTATTTTACATAGTGTGTGAGTAATAAATTATGGGCTTGTTATCAACTATTTATTTTTGGAGTTTTCATGGAACTGATGTATAGGTAAATAATAAAATAATAAT